ATAAATAAATAAATAAATAAATAAATAAATAAATAAAAATAAATAAAAGGGTGTCGGATCCCCACAATCCAGTCATTCTCCAGAAATGTCTTACTCTTGTCACTCTGACTATTAAGATTCACTGGCACAAGTCTACCCCTTGAATTAAGATTCAGTCATATCTCCTTAAACCATCCTTACATTCCAAATAAGCACAAAATTTAATAATTCCACTTAACATGATACAGCTATTATGCATAAAACTGAACATGAAGTGATCCCTCCCACAAAGTTTCAAAACTTCCAATTTTGATGAGAAGTCCAGTTCAAGGACTCCTCTGAAACTCAGGGCAAACATTATATTAAAAAGGCCCTGTAGGGCTGGGGAGATGGCTCAGTAGTATAAACACTTCCCTGGCAAGTTCAAGGGCCTGAATTCAATCCCCAATTCTGTCAATAAATAAATAAATAAAAATATAAAGGCCCTGTAAAAATAAAAAATAAAGTTACATATTTTCAAGATTAAATGCCACTGTGTTAAAATTCTTATTCCACATAAACCTAAAAAGGAAATAATAACTCTGGGACTGGCATCTGAGATCCAGGGTTGTAAAATGTGAGCTCCAGACATCTCTGAGAGCCCTACATCTGTGGCCCTGGAAGCCACAGGCCATGTGGAGTCTTCCTTATGCTGGCTGTATTTTGCTTCTTGCTGGTTTTGGCAGAGGTTCTGTTTCTGGGACCTCTGATTTCCTGGTGTCTCTGCTGCACCTTTAAATTCATTCACACAGCTTCAGATATCCCTTGCCATGGGCACGTTGCCTGACCTCCAAGACCTTCTTTGGAAATCTACGTGGAAGCCTCTATGACCCCATAGCTCTTATGTTTTACATGTTTATGAAACCTGCATCTCAGAGATGATACCAAGGACCCGCTGCCAGTATGAGCAACAGTCAACCCTTGATGGACTATAGCTATAGTGTTCTCTGAGAGACCAAACTCCTGCGCACATTGAAATCAGTCCAGAGGAATTAATTTCTTAAGTGGTCCTTCTCTGGCATGGTGCTCAGCAGCTCTCACCTCAAAGGAAACATTATACTTTCACAACTCTGAGCCTGTAATAGACAGAGTTTAATTCATTTCCAAAATCTTCTGAAAGCATTCTTCCATCCAGGAAAGAGTACAAAATGTCTTTTTATGACACTAATCTCTTCAACGAACAACATACTCTTTGGTCCCAAGTTTGCCCATGATTCTATTTGAGCCACGGCTCTTTAAAAGAATTATTTTAACTTTATGTCATGCTTCCATTTCTTGCTGTAAATCTGGTTCAAAGACAGTATATTTGCAACAGTTTGAAATTTCCTCCACCAGATCAATTAGACCACTGCCTTTAAACTCAGCTTCCCACAAGTTCTCAGGACATTAGCAAAATAAAAGCTTTTTTTTTTCTTTTTTTGCCAGAGTGTAATGCATATGACCTCTAGTCCAATTCCTTTTTTTTTATTTTTTTTATTTTTTTAATGTATTTTAGTACAGGATCTATAGGGGCTCCCTACACAGATCCACCTGATAGTTGTTTTCCTATTTTCAGCCTCCCAAGTGCTGGGATTACAAGGTCGCACCACCAGTCTCAGTCACTGTTTCAGCTAGCCTGGGAGGGTAAGGCTAGCACAGCAAGCAGGTGAGCGAACCGTGCTTCCTGCACCTGCCTACGCAGGCACTTTCACCAGCTGAGCTATCTGGCCCACCCTAAGCTATCTGGCGGGCTCTCCTAGTCCAGTTCCTAATAGAATTCATGTTCCTATCTGGCACCTGATGAACCCGGGCGTAACCGTTTGCATTTCTAACAGCATTCTAGTCTTCTGTGCTCTGACCAGAATGTTCTATCAAGCTCTGTTTACAAAATCCCAGGCTGCATCTGTAAACCGTTCCAAACTCTTCCCGGAAACCAGTTTCAGGGGCTTCTGAAATCCATGGTTGGGTGCCGCTACTGCCATGATCTCATTTCTCCAGGATAAATTGGATGCATGGGTCTGTTTTCCCATTGCTAAACAGAATATCCAACATCTGTAATTTAAAGAAGCAGCAGTTTAATGTAGCTTACAATTTCCTGGATTCAATCCATTGTTGAGAGTATCAAGGAAAATACCATGGTGGGGATATGTTGGGGCAAAGCTACTCCCTTCTCATCCAGTAGACAGGCACACAAGCAGAGAGCACCAGCTGTAATTACATCCACCAAAGGAGCACACCATTGCCCATCTCCACGATGTGGGGCCCCACTTCGCAACACTTCTGCTTATTTGAAATGCCACACAATCAAAACACTTTAAGTACACATTAACAACCCTAGAAAGAATTAACAACTGGGAACTGGTATACACTTACAATAGTAAAAATGCTGCCAATATGTCACATTCTTCATTGAAGTTGTACATGATTGTGTATGTATCTAGTACTAAAATTACAGGTTAATACATAAAATAATGCATCTTGAGTTGGCTAATTGTTGTAAAGTGAATTATATCCCTCTTAAATTCGTATATTGAAATTCCAACTAGAATTGACTAGATTTGGAAGTAGGACTCTTACGACAATAGTTAAGGTGACATAGGGTCGTGAATATGGGACCATAGTCTAATAACTGCACTTTTTTATAAAGAGAAAATATAAACAGAAATTTGTCTCTCTGCATGCAAACAAATACTGTATGACCATACAGTAAGAATCAGCACCTTGCAAGTCAGCAGTAAAGACCATTCTAATGGCATCTTTACCTTGGTTTTTTAACCTCCAGAACTGTGAAAAAAGAAGTGTTGTTACTGAAGCTACTTAGCCTCTTGCATGTTTTTATGAGATGACTTGAACTAAATACTACTTAGAGTAGAATAGTGACTGTTTTTAAAATTATCATCCTAGTTACATATTCCATATTTTTACTATAATTCAATATGTGTGCATGCTTTTTCTAATTAAAAATAATTTGTATAAACAACAAGTTAATTATATATATATATATATATATATATATATATATATTCCTCCAAGAGAATTACTACAATTAAAGCTTCAGGAAAATAATTATGAAATAATCTTTTTAAAAAAAAACTTGAATACCAACCAGCTCTTTTGGACCACATAATATTTATTTGAGTGTTATAATTATCATACTTAGAATTTCAGTGTATATATTAAGATAAGTCACTTTTAGCTTATTACTTGGGATGATGGAAAATTAGCACTTGAATTATATTAAAGAACCTTTCAAGATATTAGTGAAAAATATTTAAGGTATATATCTATACAATAAATTTTTATATAATAATGTTTTTAAAACATGAGAGACAGTTTATTTATTTATTTATTTGTATTTTAGGGAAGGGTCTACAGGGTGTTCAGGGTCTCACTGCTAGATCAGGCTCATAGTGATCCGCCTGTTTACAGTCTCCCAAGAGCTGGGATTACAGGCATGTGCCACCACGCCCAGTCTCAATTGCCATTTTAGTGCTCTCCAGTGCAGGGACCGGCCCTGCAAGCCCGGGGATAGAACCTCTGGCCCCTGCACCTGCTTGCTGGTGTTTTAATCCTCTGAGTTTGTGAGTGACAGTTTAAACAAAATTTTCATTTGAAATTTGTAACATCTAAAGGAGTAAAAGAAAACATTACTCTGGTTCTTTTCTGAATTTCAGGTAGATTTTATTTTTTTCATCTTTTCATTAATTTATTTTTTATGTATTTGATACAGGGTCTCACTACACAGCTCAGACTCAAACTGATCCTCCTGTTTTTAACCTCCCACAGCTCTGCATGTGGTGCCAGGGATTGAACCCCAGTCCCAGCACTTGTCTGAGCATGCCCTTAGACCACTGAACTACCTCTCTAGCCCTCATCATTTGTTTTTAATCAACCTTATAGAGTAGAAAAATATTACCCCATAAGAAGAATTAATGAAAATTAAAAGATGCTGAGTCATGGATAGAAACTGTTGTGTTTACAAAATATGATTTGGCATGGAATTTTACAAATCCCACTTTTAATTCTACCTCCGCTTCTCACCTAGTGGAAGAATGACCTTGAAGTATTCATTTAACTTTGAGTAATTCTTTTGTTTCTATATAAGTTTAAAGTTTAATTGATGAGAGTTTGTATTAAACCAGAAACTCATCAAAAATCTTTCAGTAAATTCCAGTTTTCCTAGTGAAAATGTCATGACAACACTTAAATTCATTTGACAGGAGAGAATGTATCTCAGTGGTATAGTGCTTGCTTAGCATGCCGAAGGCTGTAGGTGTGATACTAGACAAAAGCGATTCCTTTCGACATGCTAAGCTAAGTCTTAAAATAAGTTCATCTTGTTTTCTAAGATGGCAAAAGTACATTAGCTAAAGCTGAATTTATTTTATTTATAAGTTTGTTTCACATTGAAAACATTCTTTAGTAACTAACATGTTAGCTAACAATAGTAAGCATGAGTACTCCAAACCATTGGCTTTTAAGAACTGTTTCCCTGTGAATTCTTTATTTTTTTAGTTAATTTTATTGAGAAAGAAAGAGCAATGAGGCGGTCCCATTCCTGTGAGTTCTTTAGAGCTCACACTGGTTCACTGGAAGTATCCTTCAATCATTCCTTTAGGAGAACATTAAGCAGAAGGAACCCTTGGTCATTTCCCTTGGGGTGTGAATACATATTATCATCCACATTTTTAAATCTTTGGGTAAGCTATTCGCCTTGTCATTTCTAAAGTTTTCTAAAGGAAGATTGCATCTGTTAGGAATTTCCTTGATGAATTGAATATTATGTTTTAATTACCATGTAACAAATTTATGCTAGAACTAATGGAAACTTTAGGTAGTTTTTGTTTTTCTGTGTGAGGCAGAAGACATTGGAAGAGGCAAGATTAGACATACGTATTATAGATTTTGCAATATATATGTATATATAAGATATATTCATGTATCACAGA